ACCCTCCACTTGGCTCTTCTCTGACCTGCTGTTCACCTCATATCCCAGGGTGAAGTGGCTGCAGTGGTTACCGGCTACGAAGGCCATCTGGGGTATCCAGCCCAGACGTTAGTGTAGTAATGGGGTCCTAATCGGAGTAAGGGGCAGCCATAATGAATTTTGAGGGAGGAGCATGAAAGCCAAAGACCATAGAGATGCAAAGGACTTGGAGACCATTTTGTCCAGTAGGACACAAAGTGGGGTGGTGGTGAAGTGTGAGGTCCGGGGTGCCGTGAACCCCAGGTTTGAGCCCTACTCAGCTGTGACGAGCTGTGGGACCTTCGGTTTCCACTCCCTCATCTGTATAATGGGATCGTGATGGTCCTACCTCATGGAGTTGTGACGATGACATGTGGTAATGCCTCCATCAGTCTCGGTGGTCTGTGCCTGTGACTCCGTGCAGCCCGCCCAGCCTCATGATGCCACCTGCAACCTAATTTCAGGATGAACGTGTGGAACACTGGCTGGCCTCCACGTTGCAACTTCTCAACAAGCCAGCTGTCAACACAGCAGTGGCTAAAAGTCAGTGCCAGTTTTTCTCATCGCTATCCCTCTATGCAGTAAAGGATGCAACCAAGTTTTAATACTAGTTCCTGCTCTCCATACAACTCAAGTAAAATGCATTTATTATGAACATTAAAGAAAGCCGAGGAGGGGAGGATGGGAGGACAGCTGTAAATATTTTCCCCAAGTTGGTCCATGTATAAAAACCAGCTTCTCTGGGACCCGCCCCTCCCCTTCACTGCTGAGACCTCAGAGGCCCAGAGAGGTCAGGAGACTGTCCTAATGCTGCACAGATTATGAGTGCTGAGGTGCAAGGTGAGCCTCATTCTTCTGACTCCCAGTTTGGACTTTTTTCCTTCACATCCCACGTAGTAGGGTGCTTCTGTTGGAGTTTCTGAGAGACAGTTGACGGTGGCAATTTATGGTGGGGTGCTACGGCCGCCCTACCTTAGTTTGAGCTCCTCCAGGAGAAGACCCAGAGGGAAGTATCTGGGGGAGTGTCACTGACCTGGGAGGTGGTCCCTGGGAGCACGATGAGGGAAAGGGGAGTGAGACAGAGAAGGGAAGAAAACCAATCAGGTGCATTGAAGATTGAGTCACTGCTAGGGGCAATCGGCACCCAGTCCTTCTGTGGACCCTCTGGGAGATTATGTAGCACACATCTCAGAATTCTCCCTCCGAGGGCCTGAAGATGCCACCCTTGTCCATCTCTTGCTCCTGGGTTGTTGGCTCTCCAGCACGTCCAGCTGGTCCTAACCCAAGGATCAAGCCTGGGTCCTGTCTCCTGGCTCCCTGGCACAAGAAGGCCCAGGGGAAGAGGTGTGGGTGCTGTCTACAGAGGACCTCCTGCCTGGACCAGGGCTCTCCCTGCCTCACACTGTGGTCAACACAGCCCCTTCTCAGGACCCCTGGGGGGTTCGGGGGCATCCTCCTTCCCCTCATGGGCAGGCTGTGTTCTCGTGTCATGTTGGGAGGTCCCTGTGGAATCCAACTTGGAAAGAACACGTTCTGCCCACAATAAGCCGCAGTGTGCATGGCATCTGCCCAGGGCTGGCTGGCTTCTGGAGGCTGGAGGACCACCTTTGAGACCCCAGATGGGTGCATAGTGCTTTTCACAAATGAGGTGAGCTGGTCTGATTCTCAGCAGCCTGGGCTCCAACCAGAGGGAAGGGGGGTGTCTTTTCTTGAGTGAATACACACTGCATTTACCTCACCTAGGGTTCCACATTCAGGGTTCTGAGAAGCAGAGGAGGATGGGGAGAGTGTGCAGAAGACTGTTCCACCATGTCAGTTTCACTGGACCTGAGAAGTTCCCCCAGGGCCAAACCAGCAGACCTGGTTCAAGAGGCCTGATTTGGGAAGTTATTAGAAGAACAGGCCTGAAGACAAACCACAGTAGACTTCTAATTAGCATAAATGTTCAGTGGTTTAAAGTACCTTTCATCAACTTATTTTGAATGTGTAGTAGATCCATCCACATCATTAGAATTAAACATATGTAAAATTGTATTCAGTGAGACATCTCCCCCACCCCACACCTATCCTGTGCCGCTTCTCTTTTCTACAGTCTCTGTTTCCTGTGCAGCCTTCCTCAGCTCCTTTATATACATGCAAGCACATCTTATTTGCTTTCTTTATAATTTGAAGATAGCATAGAATAGGCCTTATTGTCATCTGTTTTTGTTTTGTTTTCCTCCTCAAAGCCCCAGTACATAGTTATATATCCTGGTTGTTATTCATTCTAGTTCTTCTATGTGAGGCCCCACCACACCAAGGGTGACTGACAGAGAAGTGATATGGTTCACTGACTGGTAAGTGAACCTGGGCACCGAGGTGGTGACAGCACCAAACTTTAAGCACTAGGCCATCAGGGGTGGATCCTGTCACCTGTTTTTTTGTTTTTTTCATCTAACAATCTCTTCTCAAGATCTTTCCATCTCAAACACCTTGTGAGCATACTCAATTTTTCCCTTTTAGAGCTACATAGCAACTCCTCGCATGCACATGCCGTAAGCTGTTTGACTATGCCCTGTGGATGGACATTTGGGTCTTTTCAAATCTTGCTCTTATACTAGATGCTACAAAAATAACCTCGTATTTACATCATTTTGAACACGTATGTAAGTGTATCTTTAAGAGAAATTCCCAGAGGTGGGTTATTGGGTAAAAAACGTATATGTATTTCCGATTTTGATGAATATTGCCAAATTGTGCTCTTTAGGGGTCGTACCAATATACGTTTCCACCAGCAATACGCAAGAAACTGCATTCTGGAAGGGTATGGGTTCTAGACATGAGAGGAGCAGAGAACCGTGAGATGAAAATAACACTCCCAGACAAGTGTGAATGGAATGGATGGATCAGCTGAGCTTGGACCCCTGAGGCCCTGAGGAAGTGGAGAAAGATGAACAGAGAGGAGGCGTGAGACCATAGAGGAGGAACGAGAATCCATCTTACCTTGTGGAGCAAAGCGGGAAGTGTCAGATTGGATATGTCAGCACAGGGTTTTCCAGTTCAAATGATCTGTTGAGTGGGGAGCCATTTTAGATTCTGTCTGGATCCAGGAACCCAGGGTGAGGGAGCAGAAGAGGGGCTGGGAGGGAGAGGCTGAGCTGCAGCTGCGGGGGCTGAGAAGAGGGAGGGAGGAAGGGTGTGGCCAGGACCAGGAGGACAGGGAGGGTCGCTGAAGATATGTCTGCATGCCCGGGGCCTCGCACACAGCCTGGGTCACGGGAGACGCTCGGGAAATGTCAGAAACACAAACCCAGCAAAGGAGTCAGGACACCATGAAATTCCTCCCCAGAACCCTGAGAAGTCCACCTGTTTGTCCCAGGACCAAATAAGACTGGGACGGAATGTCGGTGGAGGTTCGAGGTCTTAAGCAAGACCTCCATCAAATCAGATCCACTCTCTCATCTTGTCCTAGTGGTTTCTTTTTAATAAGTCATCTTGAATTCATCACTCAGTCAACAAATATTTATTGTGCCTCTGCTACGTGCCAGGCTCTGCTCTTGCTGCCGGAGCTTCAACAGTTCAATGATCACAGTCCTGGCCCTACTGGATCTGAAACAAGTGCTCCCATGAATGCATGATTACCGATGTGCCAAGTGCCATAAAGGAAAAGAAGGAGGGCTCTGTGAGAGGGTGGTCAGGGAAGGCTTCACAGGGAAGAAACACAAGCTGAGATCTGCAGGACGCTAGGCCCTAGTGAGTCAAGACAAAGGGAACAGCAACCCAAAGGGAACAGTATGTGCAAATGTCTGGAGGTGGAGAACATTGTGTATTTGAGGAGGTGGAAGAAGGCCAGTATGGTGGGAGCTCAGGCTAAGAGGGATCAAGGTGAGGCAGGGAAGGTAGGTAGGGAAAAAAAGCACGCAGGGCTGGGAAGCCACACCAAAGATTTATTGTCTTATTCCAAGTGCAATTGGAAGGCATTAATGAAAGGTTTTAAGCACAGGAGGGACGTGATCAAATTATCTTTCAAAAAGATTGTTCAGCTGGGGAACATGGGCTAGAGGGAACACGAGTGACATTGGGGGGCCTGGGGCATGGGCTAGTAGAGCTCACCACACTCCTTCCTAGAGCCCAACATCTCATATTTGAGAGTGATAAATGACAAATTGGGGGATGATGTCACAAGACTTTCCAAAGCCATCTTGTTCTGAGCGCCCCAAAGTCACTCCCTCTCAGCAGGGGGTCCCGGCTGCAGCCCTGAGGCCAGTGTCTCCAGAGGGCTGTCTGGAATCCAGCTGTGGGCAGAGGCAGGAGCTATGGGAATTTTCCCACTGTGGGTGCCCAGGAGCACAGGACTGTAATAGGTTTACCAGCACATGAGGAACTGGGATCCAGCTAAGCTGACATAAAGTGAAACATAGCCATTTGTGACAAGACTTCTCAGAGCCTTTGATTGGGAAAGGTGCCTTGTGAACCTTGAAGAAGGGGCTGGAATGCAGCATGTTCCATGCTTAGTTTGAAACTCTACTTTCCATTAAACATTTTGCTGCCAACGTCACTCTGAGAAACGCTGCTCTAAATAGTTCCTGTTTGCTACTGGGCATGCTCAGCTGCTTCTCTCCCAATGTCACAATGCTCAGGGACCTGGAGAACCATCCTCTTTAATTACTGATGGGGAAACAGGTCAGTTCAGTGTCTTGCACTAGAGTGTTCAGGGGGTCTCAGGTGTTAGTCCGGGCCGACCAGCTAATCACAGAGAGCAGCTGGGGAGATTTTGGGATGTCAGCTTCTGTCACCTCTCTGGCCTGTGTCTTAAAGACGTTACTGTCTGACACACCTACTTAGGAATGTGACCACCAGAGGAGGCCTCCCCTGATCTCTTTCCTTTTCTCCTATCTCTTATTGGCTGTGGGAGAAATGAGAAGTTGCCTCCCTCAACCAAGAACTTAGGGGCCTGGTTCTATGAGGGGGCAATGGGCCAGGCATTTGTGGTCCGCACGTCTTCATGTGATGCTCCCAGCCAGACCTGCTGAGGCCCATTTGTCTTCCTGGCTCTATTAGGAAGTGAGTGCTGCCACTGTCCCCGTGTTTGGTGCTGTCCAAGGGGTCATTTCTGCCCCCACCTCGGCCCTGGTGTTCTGATCCCGGTGATGTGAAGGAGAAATATGGACAAAGAGAAGCAACTCCACAAAATATTTTGCAGAAGGTTATTCTTTTATTCTACGTGATTGGTATGAGGGGGAAGGGGGCCAAGACCCCATCTCCAGGATCCCATAGGAAGAACAATCAGGAGAACTATGAACATCTAGAGAGGGCACACGACTGAGACCGGATCTTCCTGGGAAGTGGCCGGAAAGACTCAGGCTTAGGCCACGGAAGCCAGGCCAACCTGGTTGTTGGCTCTGTCGAAGATGGTGTAGTACTGGCGGATGAAGACGTCACCCAGGATCCAGAGTTCTCCAGAGCTGGTGTCGAGGTCCATGCCCTCAAAGCCGCTGATGCAGGTCGCGTCCTCCTGTAGAAAAGGAAGATAAAACCAGAAATGGGACACAGACTCAGCTGTGACAGGTGCTGGGGGATCAGCATCAAGCACCACAGCCCACTGTGAGGGACATGCAAGGAGGCGCTTCCTGGCTGGAGCCGGGGGACTCGGCTCTTTGTAGTCTGAGGTCTGCCTGTGTCAGCTGTTCACTGCACTCTGGGTTTCCAGGGATCACTAGACATTCTCCAGTGCTTCTCACAGACGCACAACCCCTGACGTCAGCAATGGAGCTAAGGGGTTTAGGGGAACTCAGCTGCCAGGAGGATTTTGGAAGCCCCGGTGACCCAGGCTTTTCTGATTATTCTGATCCCTTCCAGTGGCAAGCTGTCAGTTCTTTTCATTCACTGGGTCACTGGCCCACAACCTTGGCTGCACATTAGTATCTCTTGATGAGCTTTGCCCCTACACGTGTAGTTCAGGCCTGATCTGGTACTAATTAATGGGCATTGCTGGGGGAGCAGCCTGGGCATCATTACTTCCTTTGAATAACATGCAACCACTGGGCAAAACGAGTTTTCCACCTGGCATTATAATAGAAGGCAAGGAGTTTACCTGTGGGTCATGTGACTAAAGAATTGTTCCTTGGTAGAGACAGTGGGAGCATCATAAGACCTGACCCTACAAAAGTTAGGATTGCCATCTGGCAACCCTTTGTGGCTTTGATGTGGTCAATATCACGTGACTACCCTCACCACACTCTGAACCTAGGGAAACCTGTGGCTCTCAGAGGAGGAAACTGAGGCTGAGAGAGGATGCAGCTGGCTCAGAATCAATGGATTAGTAATTGAGACCCGGAGCTTGGCTCAGGGGTCCAGGTAGTAATCCTCTTTTCACGCCATCAGTATTTGCTTCCCTTGTCCCTTGCGGGTGCTGCATCCAAGTTCTGTCTCATGCATTTGCTGTGAAGGGATTCTTTTTCTCTCGTGGCTGTCCAGAGCAGATGGCAGCTTCAGCTTGTGGAGGTGCACTTTCCCTTGTGCAAAGGGGGAGTATGTGGCCACATTCTATGGAGGCACATCTAGGTGGGAGGCCCAGAGCCCCCTTACCTCTAGGATGTAGGCACTGGCAGGCAGAGGGAACTCGACGCCATTGAGGGTGAAGACGATGTCGGGCAGGCTGTAGATGGATGAGCAACTGATCACCTCCTGGAAAGAGCAAGGGTTAGGAGGAATCGCATTCCTTCTGCATGGCAGCCCCACCACCTGGGTCTAGATGGGGCAGTCAAGGCTGGACCCACCTCGCCGGAGGAGTCCGCGCTGGCTCCAATGTAGCTCTGGATATTGTCAATGGCAGAGGTTGGGCCAGCCAGCAGAGAGGAGGGCTTGTCAACAGGGTGGTCGGGGAAGGCTTCACAGGGAAGCAGAGAGTCAGAGGTTGCCAAGGAGGTGAAGAGCAGGAGGAGGACATCCCAGGCAGAGGGGAAGGCATGCAAGGAGCAATGGAGACAAGAGGTGCAGAGGCGGGCGTGGGAGGAACTGATGAAGTTTTAGCATGGCTGAGGCAGACTGAGGGGACCTAGAGTCCTTGTTTACCCAGGACAGTCCTAGTTTTGGTACTGAAAGTCTTGAGTCCCGGGAAAGTGCTCACTTCTGGGCAAACCGGGAGTCACCCTAGCAACTGGGCGTGGGAGGAACAGCAGGGGAATGAGGCCGCATGGAGAAGGGCAGGCCCAGAAGGGGACGGTGGGAAGGAAAGGGCTGTGACAACTTCTCAACCCTTAGCCCTGTCCCTAGACTGAAAGTGACATGTTTCCCAGAGTGGGAGGAGCCTATGACAGTTCACAGGTCCCCTAAATGTCAAGACGTCTGGACAGGTGGATCATCCCCTTTTCCCTGGGGATGCTGGTGTCCTGTCTCCCGGACCGGAAGGAAAGTGGCTGTCTCATCCTTGCAGACCATCTGAGGTCCCAACAGCCCTCCTCATCCGGGAGGTGATGTTCTCATGGTCTCTCTGTCTTGCCCAACTCCCACCTTCCCCTCTTGGGGTCCATTTCCCTATGCTGGCTATTCCAGGGGGATTCTGGAAAGCTTAGTTAACTCTGAGTCTAGAAAGAAATGAGATCTAGGGCCTTTGCCAGGACAGTGCCCATCCACGGTGACCTCACCTGTCCAAGGTGATCTGCCAGTAACCCTCCTCAGTAACAGGCACCCAGTGCAGGCTTCCAGTGTAGTAAGAAGAATCGATGCCACCAAATATCACCACGCTGCCACTCTCATCATCGCTAAGAAAAGTGGGGGGAAACGACAGGAATTCACTCATTCAACTGAACATCTGCTGTGTGCATCCTAGAGCTGCCCTTGGTTGGGCTCTTGCCAGCACCAGGAGCTGCACAGAGTGTTTGCCAGACATGCTTTCTTTTCATCCTCACACCAAGGCCCATACAGTGATAACTATGATTATTATTTCTACTTTACATTGAGGAAACTCAGGCCCAGATAAGTGAGGAGACTAGTCCAAGGTCACACAGCCAGGGAGTGCCACAACCAGGATTAGAACCCAGGTCTTTCTGGTTCCAGTGTGTTATTTTCATCACATCTTCTCTCTCATGGTGTGGGGACCTCAGTAGAAGTGAAGGCTTGATAGTGTTTGCTCGTAAGCACTTGACAGTATAGTTCCCTGGTTCTCAGCCAGAGGCAGTTTCGCCCCCAGGAGACATTTGCCAATGTCTGGGGACAGTTTTGATTGTCATGATTGGGTAGTAGGGAATGCCACTGCTGTATGGTAGGTAGATGCTAGGGAGGCTGCTAAACATCATACGATGCACAGACCTCCCCCAAGAGCAAGGAATTGTTCAATTGTTCAATACATCCCTACTGCTGAGATTGAGAAACCCTGAGCTATTGGAGAGATAACACACCCCCATGGAATATCTAAGTACCCATAAAGGCAGATGATGTGTAGGAGCCTACCTGAATATTAAGTGACCAAGGGGATAAAAGGGCCCTCCGGTTGTAAATTACTCCTGTTGTAAGTTTCCTCTCGGTTACCAGAATATTCACTTTCTGAATGAGCGCCATTTAGGGTTAGATAGGGAAGCAAATATGGTTGATGATAAGAAATTAATCATCAAAGAACAGGCCGCAGATATAATAGTTCACACACCACCTTTCCTGTAAACCTTGACAGTATAAGGCAACACACTGAGATTATAGCAGAACAGTGAACAACTGAAGAAAAACATCAACAATGACAAATGGCTTCAAAAGAGAAGGATGAGAGCATCAGAAGAAAGTTGAGTGTCTCGGGAAAACTGATGATACCCTCCAATATTCCTGCACGATCCTCGAATCATCCAAAACCAACACTTGGTTTATCTTTATTCCTTCTTAGAATCGACTCATAGTCACAACTGAACCTAGATTTTGTTAACAAATGACAGAAAGTTGCATTCATCATTGAAAAGTTTCATTGCTTAAAGATACAAGTTCTGATCAAATCTTCTTTTCATTGCTATGGAATATTCAGCACTGGTTTAAGGAGATTCATTCTAAATGGTGGTCTTTTGGAGCCAACGATGAGGGGATGGTGCTGTAGAGCAAACGGCTAATGACATTTGAGTTGTGTAAGTCAAGGAGACAACGACTCACAATAGTAAAATAAGATGCATGAACATGGTTCATCAGAGAGATACTTGGCACCGTTCTCTCCAAAGCTATACCTCTCAAGCCTTAGACATTGACCTTCCAAATCCCTTGCTGACCAAGACACTCTCTACCCTACCCAGCCCCAGACAGTCCTCTGCTGGGCCAGGTAACCGTGACATCCCCAGCCGACTTACGAGCTCAAGTAGACAGAGAAGAGGTCTTCGGAAACGAGCCCCTGGTCCCATATGTTGTCAAAGACAGGTGTGGCGTCGGAGGAGGAGATGCTGGGGTAGCCAAGACCCAGGATGCCATCAAAAGGAGCATAGTAGAAGAAGTCGCCGGGCTCTGTCTCACTCAGGCCAAAGATCTGGTTGGTGTCGTCGATGCCACCAACCTGAGTGGGGGAACCGAGATGTTCACCATCAGCTTGTGTTGACTGAGCCCTGCGGGGCACCAGCCCTGTGCCAAGAGCGTCCCTGGTTCATTTCCACCCCTCCTTCCACTTGGCTTCCAGGGAGTCAGGTTGGAAGGAGGGGAGACAGATCATCTCTGGGAATGCTTGTTATTCTGCTGGAAGTAATCATTCTGGCTGATCACCAGGTGGCCACAGTTTGCGACTTTGTGTGAGAATTGGCTGCAGAACAGATGGGCACAGTGTGTTCTTGTTTCTGATGATCAGATGCAAAGCAGACCCCAGGCAAATCAGAGCCCTTGACCCCTGCCCAGCCCTGGAAGGGTGGGGGTGCTGTGGGGCTTTTATGACTGGGGGAGCCTGCAGGTGGAGGGAGAAGAAAGGGGAGGAGCTGCTAAAAGAAAACTGAGCCTTTTCCTACCTTCTCCCGACTCCACAACATTCAGCTCGGGTGGGGCTGAGGTTGGCTGTTGGCTCCAGGCCTCCCACCCCCTCACCCACTACTGCCCCACCTAGAAATGTCTGTGACATCTTGGCCACTTCCACATCCCCCTCCCTCAATCAGGTTACTTTGAGGATCACTGAGACCTGTATGGCTTGAATGAACTGATTCTGGGGGGGTTCACTATGGCCCCCACGGTCCCCAGAAGCTGTCCCTAGTGCTGGGCAGGATGTGGTGGTGAGCCAGCAGGTGATCACCTTGACAGTGTCATATCCGAGGATGCCTGTCATGCTGCCGGTGCCATATTCGATGGAGACAGACTCACTGGTGGCCTCATAGGTGGAGGAGTCATCAGGGTTGAACTGGTTGTGGTTAGCCGCAAGAACAAGAAGTAACATCGTCAACCTCTGAAAGCTGAGGGAGAATCCTGGCTGGGGATGTCTTTCTGGGGTGGGCTGCCTTGGTTCTGGGTGGGACTTCAGAGGAGAAATGTGACCTTTGCACCAGACTTTGGAGCCCAAGCATTCCCAGGTTCCATTCCTGTCTGTGTAGACCAATTGGGACCATCTACCTGGTGGAAGGTCCCCAGCCAACCCCACGGTCCTCCTGAGGACCCACCAGGCTGGCACGGAGCAGAGCAGGCCCATGGCTGCCCATGGAGATGAGCACCTTCACAGCGCCCTGTGTACAGCCCATGTTAGAGCTACAATGTCACAGTCACTGTGTTACAATGTTACAGCTCAAGTGATGAAGGGGAGGATTCCATGGGCTCCTCCCCTGAATTAAAAGTCAGGTTAAAAATCTAGAAGAGAAAGGAAATTGAAACTCTGTCCATGACTCCCAATGACAAAGTATCTGTCGTTAGCAAACCGACTGATTGTTTCTAAAAGTGCGATGATCACTCATCTCAGTCATGATTTTGAGTCACTTTCTCATGTGAGGCTTGTGTCCCAGCTGCCTCTCCTGTAGTCCTTTACCCCCGGCTCACTTTGGGCACCCTCAACTCCCCTGGACCTGGTTATTCAGGAGAGCTGCTCTCTGCCATTGGACTGAACCTGTTGGACGCAGGTATCCTGCGTGATTAGCCCCTCTATCCCGAGGACCCCTAAGCCCAGTGCTGGGCACATAGTGGGTACTCAGGAAGTGCCTCTTGAGAGAATCCCTGAGGGACTCCAGCAGCTTGAAATCAGACCTATTGGAAGACGCTGTGCCTTCAGGGCTGCCAGGTCAGTGGGTGCTGGGGGCCCCGGGAAGCCCCAGACACTCACTGCAGGCAAGACTGGAGCAGTAGGTGGAGGGCACCCACAGGTTGGAGGAGCCGGTGTCAAAGATGACGGTGAAATCCTGAGCGGGGGTTCCGATGCTGATGGTGCCAAAGTACTCCTCCTGCGGGGCGGGGACAGCACAGGTCACTCCCCATCCTGGGGCTCCCCAGGGAGGACAGCCTCCCCTGGGGCTTCTCCTCAGCTCACCTGCCCTCACTGCTCTCCTTGCCTTCGTCTCCCTGTCCAACGCATCCTTCATTCAAGGCCCAGCCTGGCCTCCCCTCTGCCCTGAAGTCTTCCCTGATTGCATCCCCGGTAGTCTCTGACTGTTCTCTTCTAAGCACCATTAACACCTAATGACAATCTGCTGTCCCCTCTTCAGCTCTTGTCTTGAATGTCTTTGTCTTCCCATCGTAGAGGACACACCATCTCCCAGGACAGAGTGGAATCTTATAGCACCCAGCACAGTAAATGTTTAAATGCTTGTTCAGTCAATTATCAATCAGGAGCTAAAAAGTCACTTAAAGATGGAACCCTCTGGAGAGATCTTGTTCCTAAATCGAGGTGTGTACAGTGGGTTTCGAGAAAGGGCATTGTCAGGATTTTTATTCTTAGTGGCAGCCCTGTCTCCCTTTTCTGCTGTTCTAGCCATGCTGATCTGGATATCCTTGATGCCGAGAAGCTCATTCCCATCCCAGGGCCATTGTGCCTGCTCTTCCTTGTGGTAGGAAAATGTTCATTCTGGACCTTTCCTTGGTTGGCTCCCTCTCCGCAATCATTCAGAACTCTACTCAAATGTCCCCTCCACCAAGAGGCCCTCCCTGACCACTTCATCTGAATTTTCCCTTCCCCCATTCCTCCTCTTCCCGTTACTCTAATTAATCAGTTTTTCTTTGCATCACTTGCCATTACGGACATTTTCTTCCATACTTAATTATTTGTCACTCATTTGCCTTGTCCTCTAGAATAGAAGCAACAGGAAATTTCCTTCTTCAACATTGTTTCCTCAGCTCCTGGCACAGAGCCTCTGGCACATAGTAGATGCTTCAGAAATATTTTTTACATGATTAAATCAGCGAAATTTACCACGCTGTTACCAAGAGCCACTCCTTGTGTTATTCCTCCCAAGAAAACTTTACTTCATTAATTACTCACAACAACCCTCTGGTGGTAGATATTCGTGGTTCTGTTTGAAAGATGAGGAAACTGAGGCTCACTCAGAGAATTTAAATGACTTGCCCAAGGTCACACGGCTCAGAAGGTTTAGAGCCCAGAGTTGCAACTGGTCTGCTAGATTTCATAGGCTAAGCTCTTAACGACAGACAACATTGCTTCCTACCGTTGACCCTGTGCCATTCACACAGGGGACACACAATATCTACAGAAGGGCAGGGCATTGCTATTGGGTCCCAAATAGAACAATGAGAGATCTTCCTGAGATTCCACACTGATCATGTCAAACCCCCTAGTTAAGATGACTCAGTGGCATTGAGGATGCAGACCCTCCTCAGAGACTCTGGTCTGACTCCACCCACCCATCCCTCAGGTTTCTGTACCTCCCTCCCTCCTCTCTGCTCTCCCGGAACACTTGCCTCCGTTCCTCAAATGCACTCTGCTCCCTGCTGTCCCAGGGTCTGGCACAAGTCTTCCTGCTGTCTGGGACTCTCTCCTGTCCTCTTGGACCCCCACTTCTCCTTCAATGCCCAGGGGAGACATCCCTGCCCGCCACCTACCACTCCCTCACAGTGTCACCTTTACTGTGTACCCCTCAGCCTGGCTGTATGTTTCATGGATGGTGAGGCTCAATGATGATTGTCTGTCTCTCCCTACTAGACAGGGAGACCCGTGAGGGCAGGGGCTATGCCTGGTTTTCTTCCCTGATGCTTCCCCTGGGGCCCAGAACAGTGCCTGGCACATAAGGAGGTGCTCTGCATACATAAACACTGAATGAATGAATGAGTGAATCAATCAATCAGTCAATCAATCAATGAAATCAACATGTCTGAATGTGAGTTTTCCTGCTTTCCCTGTGCCTATGACATCCAGAAAGCAGACCTCTGGGTACTGCCTGGGGGCTCAGAGCCCTGATCCATCCTGCAAGAACACTGGAACCCCTCTCTCTTCTAGGCAAAGTCCTCAGTGCCACCTACGCCCCACCTCTTCTGCCCATGCACTCACATCATAGTAGTTCTCCATGGACTCGACATGTGCCAAGGTGGCGGCCTCCTTGGGGAAGTACTTCCTTGCTAGGTTGCGGGGATGCGTCTTCTCCAGCAGGCCATGCTCGATCAGGTTCTTCCTCCAGGACTTCTTTCTGACAAGTGGAACCCTGTGGCAGAGCATTTGCAAGTGGAATGGTTTGGAGGAGGAATTGTAATTAGGGAAGGAGTGTGCTCATGGGTGTTATAGAAGGCCCTGAGGTAAAGGAAGCTTCTCCAAGAGAGGAAGAAGGAAGGAAGTCAAGAGGGGAGATTCTCCCATTTTTTCTACACTACCGCAAAGAGGTTCATAGGTTGCCCAAATTAACCCAAACAATGATGGTGCTGGCACCCAAACCCAGGCTGGACTTGAGGGCCTGAGCTATGAACCACGTCTGCAGTAATGCCTCCCCAGAAGGACAGAGAGAGAAGAAAGGAGACTCAAGATGGTGGAAGAGAGCAAGAAGTTGCGTGAAGGCAGAAGAGAAGAAGAAAAACAAGGATGGAAAGAAAGACAGTGTGACAGTGTGAGTGAAGGGACGCAGCCCCTCGGAAGCTGTTCTCCGTGCCCCGTGTCCCCCACACTCACTTGTAGATAAGGCACTCAGAGAGCGCCACCAAGCTGAGCAGCAGCAGCCACTTCATGGTTCTTCCTGGGTCCCAAGTCTCCAGAGAGGGGAAGATGGGTGGAAGGCGAACAGCAGCAGGCAGGAGCTGCTCCTTATATACAGCACAAGTCCTCGGGGACCAGCCTTATCAGCCTCCAAACGTCACCCGTTATCCTAACCCCAAACAGAAAAGTTCCCGATAAGATTGTCCCCGCCCCTGCGCCATGTTCTGAGAAGTTTCCAGTTGAGCTGCTTCCATTGCAACCACATCCCATGGTTAGGATGGACCTGCAGAGAGTGAGCCATGGAGTGATGGCTTATTTCCCAAAGAATGAAAAGGGCCTGCATGAGAACTTGACAAGATGAGTATTTTGACAAAATTGAACTCAAATTTGAACAGGTGTCAAAGGAGCTCAGCGTATCCCAATTTGTCCTGGTGGGGCAGATGGCTGGGGTCTTGGAGAGCCGCTCCCCACTTAGCGATGGGCCATGTTACTGTAGCGGCTAACCCAAAGCACACTCGTAGGTCAGTGGTTTGGGACTCAGGACACATTTCCCCACAGAAATGTCATTATGTGAGGTTGTAGAGTGTCTAATTAGCCTAAAGGCCTAATTATGCTCATGAGTAATATTGTGCTCATGGAAACTGGGCCGAGTCTTGGGACAGTGGTGCGTGCAGTACAGAGGAAGAGGAAGGAGTGAAGCTAGTGGAAGAATGATTCCTTCCTTTCCTGGAGGAAGCCAACCTGAAAGAGGCCGGTTTGTCAATGGAATCTGTGCCTCTCACTTTCTGCACCCCTTCTCTTCCTACTGCTCCTCTCCCACGCTCTCAGGTTGCTGGAAGCCTCCACCTTTCAGATCCCACCTGGATCTGACTCTCCCAGGTGCTCCATGCTTAAGACTTGGCTGAATCAGCAGCAACAGAGCAAAGCAATCTGGGCAAACTCATACTAGTTGGTGAATGACTTTGATATGTTGTCTTCTCAAAAGAAGATGCTTACAAGTCCGTTGGATTCTCAACTTTATGGGGTTTATTTAGTGGACAAAGGGGAGTGAAAACTGATTGAGGAATTGTGGAGGAGGGGGATATGTGGGAAGGATGTCACCAAGAGGTAGTCAGCCCTATCTGTGGGTCCTCTTCTAGAATCAGATTCTCTGGGCCACCCCTGGTTTTTCCAGCATCAGAAGACAGAGATTCCATAAAAGCTCCAAATTTCCCCCTGTGCTCTGGGTCAGCCTGGAGGGCTGAACAGTGCAGATCAAGTTCAGGACCAGCGGTGGTTAGTACAAAGCATATTTGTATTTCAAACTGACCCATTAAGGCATC